CGCTTTTATTTTCCCCCCCCCCCCCCCCCGATGTTTTTGGGAGATTTCGCACCCCAGAATCGGGTTTGTAAATATCACCAGTGCAGGGCCTAAAAATGCATCTGAAAATGCAGAGTCTGTTCTGGGACCCTCCAGCCTGGCAGACAAACAACCTCCCACAGGAGCAGCTACAGACCAGTGAAGTCAAGTCCGTGAACTGGCCATCGGGCTAGAGTAAGCCCTGGGCTAGGGCAGCTCTGCCACAGACACCCACTGTTTGCTCTGTGTTATTTTCGACCCCAAAACCCTCCATCAGCGGCGCTGGAAACAGGCTGGGTACAGGAGCTGCAGGTGCGAAACTAATTCAGAAGAGGTGCTGGAAACTGATGCTGACGGCATTTTTGGAAACTCTTTCCCCAAGCTGAAAAAAAAAAAAAAAAAGGGATTTCCTAAAACGACTGAAAATGAATTTGCCACATCTGCAAAGAGTGGCTTGTGGGTTGCCTGTCCCTGAAAGCAGCTAAGGAAGTGCTACGGTCAGCAACTTTACAGTTTAAATGACAAAAGCTAATGTGCCCATGGGTGACAGCAAGTGCTAGGTATACTACCAGTCGCCTTAAATCCTGAAAATGCAACCATTTGAATTGTTAAAGCTCCACGAGTTTGCACAGTCCAAAAATACAGTCTCTTCAGCCAAAAAAAAGCTGGTTTTGGAATCAAGAACGGCTTGTAATTAAAGCCAACAGTATGAGAATCTGTAACTGATCTGCTCTGAACAAATTATTTGGCTACCTGAAAAGAAGAGAATCAAAACCTTTTCATTTTTTTGGAAAGAGGCTCAAAGAAGAAAAACATTAACTTGCTGAGAAAGAGGAAACAATAAGGGCAAAATAAAACAGGTAAATGCGTGACCTCCATATTGGGCAAGCATGTGCAAAGGTGGAGAAGATGGGACTCACTCTAGTTTGATGAGCAGTCCAATCACTGCTTCTGACATAAAATTAGACCAGTTGTTTAAAAAAGAGCTACAGAAACCAAAAAGATCTTATGCCATTGACCTTAACACTCCTCTGTAATATGCTTGATGAGAGGGATTTTTGTTTTATTTTTACTGAGACAAATTCAATAGATTTAGAGTGATGAATGCAATAAAATTACACACATGCTGAAGAAAAGCTTAGCTTCAAGGCAGTACAGCTCTGCCCAAGAAACTTAACTCCTTGAAATTTGCCATTTTCAGCTGGAAAGGAAAAATCTCAAAGGCATGACTCCAGCAAGTCTATTTAGTCAAACAGTACCAGATGGATGTGTGGGATTCACCTTCGGCTTTGGTTATGAATGAAAGTAGTCAGCTAGGAGTTTGCTAAAGGCTATTTTTGCCTAAAGAAGTCTGGTCAAGATGTAGTTAATGTAGCCATGCTCGGGTCTGCTGTGCTTTGAGGAGGGGATGTGTGGGAATGAGCAGAAAAGAAGCTTGGAGGAGGCCAGGCAGCACAATGACCGAAGGATGTTGCTTGGATGAATTCAGTTTGTGACCAGGCATTTTGATTTGGTACAAAATGATGCCACAGTCTCCAGGAGACATAGGGAATATCTGACTGAGTTTTCCGTATTTTTCTTTTTCCAGGAACCTCACCAACAATACGGCTCATGCTGTCCACAAGAGGAGTAACCATCACTATTTCCACCCTCCAGACAGGGAAGCAGAGAAAGAGCGTTTTGACTGACCTCTAAAGAGCTGGGCTGCATCTGGGTTTTAATGGGCTTGGAGCATCTGCCTCTCCTTAAATTGCGAGGGATTCCGTAGCAGCCCCAGGGAAACCAGGTGTGACAGAGCGAGCAGGGTGTCTCACCCCATACTCACAGAAAGACAAACCCAAGGCAGAGAAAGGTCTTCATTCAACAAAGGCTTAAATGCGTATTTGTGTCTCCTTCTTCTTGAAGAGTTTTTGAAATGCTTACCTAAATTTGGACGGCTGTGGTAGGCACACTGTTGTGCTTACATACTTCATAAGTTGCCTTTGGTCTAGAAAAATCAAAGCAGCTCAGGTTTTTCCAGCATTTCTGTACGATTTGGCCCATCCATCAGCTGCCACATGTTGGTACATACAAATGCACCACCTGATGAGGTGACTAGAAATCCTGACCTGCGTTCAGCCCAGCATGGACTAAGCTGACACCCCTTCTCCTCCGGGGCAGAGCCGCGGGGCGATTCAGGGAGTAGGACCCGTCCTACAGATCAGATCCATCCTACAGATCAGATCAGATCCGTCCTACAGCTCCATCGCACACAGGCAGCTGACGGCAAGCCGTCCCCATCTGCCAGCCGGTGGGCAGCCTTCCCCTCGCAGGGCTCCGAAAGCCTCCAGCCTCACAAAACCATCTCTTGTACCTACCGCACCAAAGGCCACAGATCCAAAGCCTACCCTTCCCAGCCCACGCGTTTCAGAAATAGTTCCAGGGACAGCAAAAGAAACCGTTGTCCGAGCAAAATATACAGATGCAAGTACTTTGCTGCATGGTTAGTAAGGTAGTTTGTTTCACCACTTAAAGTTCATCCGGACGGCTGTTTTTAATAGTCAGAATCATCCCTGACAAAAGACTTTCTGAACGTATCTATAAGGACTACGCTCTAAGTTCAGAGCGTTGTGGCTTTTTGGTTTTGCTTTGTTTTCCAAAAGGGTTGATGAAAACCATGTTCATAAACTGACAGCAACAATCACACCACACGTACAAAAACAAGATAGCAGTCTCATACGGGAAATATTTCTGCTTTCGTTTTTATTTTATGAATACATATACAAGAGATGCATAATCTTCCATTATCCAGGCTTAAAAGTAACAGGTTGGGTTCTTTTTTTTTTTCCAAAATAGCTTAAAGAGGAAAACAAGGATGAAAGAGGTGCAACATATCCAAACCATACAGTTGAAAACCCTGCTAAAATTACTGCTGAAATGTGAACATGTGGAGGGTGTGTCTGTGTGTGTGTGTGTATTGTCCTGTATCATAAAAGCCTCACCCAAGGTATTTATGTATATGTAACAAAAATGCTTTGGCATAACCAGAGATTCCTCCATGCAGACTTTGTTGACATTTCTGAAATACTGAGAGAATAAAAGCTGAGAATTATATCATATATCATTTTCTCTCCTTGGCAGCAATGTCTTTAAATGCAGGGGGGAAATGAAGAAGAGTCTGTTGACAAGAGACTTTACTTCCATACTAAGATGGTTATATTAGCAGGATGCAGCAGGATGCAAACAGCTTCAAATAGAAGAGATGGAGATATATATTTTTATATATGTATATAATGTAAAAATGCTTATTTTATATAAGAAAGGAAGATTTGTCAAGATAACATAAAATGAACCACTCTAAGACTAGCTTCCAGCAAAACATTTTGCTTTATTGGATCTATTTTCTAGCTACAAGTCAAGCTGACATCTGTCAAGCTTTTTAACTTTTCATATGGCAGTCTATAAGAAATGTTTCATGCAATGTCTACAATGCTAAATACAGGGTAAATAACTGGGATTAAACAGGTGTGGAATAACAGACTATTATAAGGACCAATAACAGCATATTATGTACATATAGCCATATTATATTCTCATGTCTTCACAGTAATGTGCAAATGTGACAAATATGGCTTTCATTTTTTTCTAAAGAAAGTAAGACATAATTATACAGAATAATGTTTTAAAACGCTTAGGAGGATTTCACCTTTTTGTGAAACCTGTTTCAATCTTCATTGCATTAGGGTTAAGGGGCCACCCCAGCACGGAGGTGTAGTTCAGGTGTATTTCCAGAAGGGGGCACAGATTCCTAAGGCACAATATTAATGTTAAACATTTTTAATTTAAGTCATGCTATTTTATTTTAGTCGGGTTTTTTTTTTTTTTTGGTTATATGAAATAATAGGTTGTTGCTAGTTATATAGTAAGCATTTGATTGTAAAAAATACAATGTTAAAGGCTACACTACATGCCTACCTGTAGCTCCAGAAACATTAGCTAATCTGAAAACACACTATACAGCGCTGCATATTAAACCTTTGTGGGTTTTTGGTAATATTCTTTTTCATACATGTAGCAGAGAGTTATAAGGCTTCTGCGGAATAATAACATTATAACTGAACAAATATTTTACACTCTTCCATACTGGTATTTACAGTTACTATAACTCATATTTTGTCATTTGGTAAATAACATGTATCTTGTATGCATCCTTCTTGCCTATCTAAAGTGCTTGCTTAACTGCATGAGGAAAGAAAATGCATACCTGCTTTAGGTGCAACAAACCCTCAAAAGAAGTAGCTGAAATATTTGTTGTGGATCTGAAATGCATTCTCAGAAATTGAAATTATTGCTAAATTCAGTGCCCTCACTAGGCAATCATCTATATTATTTGTCATATATAAATATATGCATATAGACTAGTATGTATGTACATGCATACACATTCATCTATCATGTAAAAGATAGATTTCAATTTTTTGTCCATCAACCTTTTTTATTTTGTGCTATTCAACTCACTTGTGCTATGACTGAAGCCGGATTAAAATCAAAATCTTAACATGCTACTACTAACAATCCTATGATTCATTAGCACATAATAAAGACAATACGCAAAAGAAAGCTGAGATGATGACAAATCAGGAGGCTTTTGAAATGCACTGAGAATAAGGCAATAGGCTGTACATTACAGCAGAGGAAAAGCTGAAGAAATTCTGGAATTCATAAATGCATCTTACTGGAGTAGGGATTGCTCTCCCTACTTTGCTGCAGAGTCCTATGCTTTTTTCCAATAACACTCTCCAGAATGCAAGCTCTATAGTTTCTGCACCTACCAACTCTTTTAATGGTAGCAAATTCAAAGCTTATTAAAAATGCCCTGATGCCACAACCTGGTAAAATAAGGCACTTCCAGGGCTGTATGCCAGCGGTGCCATGCCAAAAAGATCAGCACTGGGAAGAAGCACTCAGATTTTGCTGAGTTTCCTAGTTTTGTCCCGTGAAATGCGCCGTCTCGGAGCGTACTCCCTCCTCTTTCTTTTGAGATGATTTTCTTTAAAGAAGCTGTTTCGTTCATCAGTTGAAGTTGAGGAGGTACTTCTTTGTAAGCAAGAGGTAAATCTTCAGTTCCTGACATTCAGTAAGGTGGAAGATCAGAGTGGTACCAGGCAACGTCTTCAGTTTATTCGGTATCTCTCTACTTGAGCTGACACGCCAGCCAAGTCAAAAGTGTGTGTGGATTTCATACTAGGCCCGTATTGCAAGCTACGAATGGACATTGGTACTGGAAAGGTCATTCCTTATAATTTCATTTACTGCAAAGAAAGAAGACAAGAGAAAAGGAATCCATTAGCATCCCACTGCTGCAGGAGGGTCTCTTCAGTACACAGCCCCCCCAAACTTGCATCCATTCCTTGACAGCTTCAGTACAGCTCTGAACCGTAAGCGTAACATCACGAGATAGCTTGTACAGGCTGATCACAAATCAGCAGGATTAACCAAGGTTATTAACATGCTAAATACCATGTAAAACCAGGCATCACAAGAACAGCAGCATCCTGGATCCTTGATTGCATCAAACATATTTAACATTTCAAATCAGTGACAGATAAAACATTTCATTTGCTCTAGAACTGGCTCAGACATGTAAAGCAAAGAGAACCACAGGAAATCTTGGAATAATCTACACCTTCCATAGAAAAAGCCGTTTGGAAAGTATGTTAGCCATGGTAGGTACTGGGGGCAGAAAGCTGCCAGCCACTGAACCTGGGTATGTGCAGCTGCAATGCCTAGATAGAATACGACTTCACATGCTGATTTTTTCCACTGTGGGACAGTATTAGGAAACAAAAAAGAAGAGAAGAAACTGTTGTGTGCTTGCCCATTCCCTGGGGCTGGTAACACAAGTAAATATATACCCTCCTTTCGTGGTGACCAACACATGTGGACATGCAGTCTTCGCTCCTGTCTGCACAGACAGATGGGAGGGACGAGCAAGTTAAAGCCCTTGGCAAGAGTCAGAGGAAAGAATAAACAAGGTCCACTATCTCAGCATCGGCCAGTCAGACTGCATCTCCACTGATAAAGTGTTGTTTTCTTTATTCACGAGTCGTCTTTCATTCTTTTCCCCCTCCCCTGCAGATCATCAAGCAATACAGTTTCCCACACTCCACTTATGTCCATTTATCAGCTTGTGATTTTTGGCAGATGGACGGGAAATGACTGAACCTGGCAAAGGCCATCTACAGTGGACTACACAACATCCCTTTTATTTCCACCCCACCCCCCTGCAGCGACTGCCACCACCTGATTTACATGAAGATAGACAAAATGCCATCAGTGGGGCTATCACCGCTTCTGAGTTTCCCTAACATTGCTGGGAGTGGGAAACACATGCCCACGTCATGGAAGCACCACGGAAAAGCCCGCATTTTCCTTTCCTCGTGGGCTGTTGTTCACCACCATCCAGATAACTTCATGTGTTTACTGGAGAAGACCAAGCCTGTCTAAAACCAACTTCCTGAAGCAATTAGTTGGGGGTTGTTTTTTTGGGTTTTTTCTTTTTTTTTTTTTTCTGCAGACTTATTGCCCATTTAGGAACTGCAGCACATGAATCAGTCAGGATTTGTGTCACAGGTCCTGGCCACCGAAACCACTTCTACCAATGGATGCGCACACCATGCTTCAGAAAGGAAATATCAGTTGTATTTGTAACTACCTATTTATGGCAGCAAACTGAGAGCGGTATGGAAATGAGATGTGAAGACAAAGCAGTTCTTTCTCTCAAGAGTGCTGTGGGGTTCATCTTTAATTATTACCCAACAGTGGAAACAAATTCGAGCAGCAAGCCCTGCTCTGTGGCAAAGACTGCCCTGCATGCATCCGAACACAGCAAGAAGTGCTACCCCATTTACATGCTGCAAGAGTCCGGGCAGCTTTTGGGACCGAGTCTCTGCCTTGAATGCAGACAGCACACTTCTTCTGTGGGATGATTTTTCCATGATGCTTTTGTAAAGACAGTTTCTTTGATAAACTTCTCAAAGCAACATTGGGTGTGCAGCAAAAACACACTGTGGTATCTTGGTGTTGAGTGTGACAATGAAAAAAAATCCTCATATGGGCCGGACAGTGTCACAGTTTTGCTAACTTTCCCTCAAAGTTTCTGTTACAGCAAATAAAATTAAGATACTACTCAAGGTAATCCTCGTTTAGTGCTTAGAAACATTAAATAATGAATCTTCACAGCACTTCTGTACAGTGTGAACATAAATATCACCGGTATTTCACAGATGGGGACAGGGAGGTGGAAGAGCGAAGGAGCTCCCCATCTCAGTCAGGATTAGCCCTCGGGTATCTTGAATCTCAAACTAATGCTATAGCACACGCTGAGATATTCTTGCTTGATTCATTCAGTAAGACTTTCAAAAGTAACATGCCCCAGCCCGCCAGCCCACGCTTTCCCCTATTAAAGCATTTAGTAAAAGTATTTCGGAAGCAACTTGATGACATGCCAGTCTAAGAGCCAAAGGTCCATCTCCAAAATTGGCTTAGGCACTCAGAGGCTGCCCTTTCCAGCCACGTTCAGTACCCTCAGCTGAATCCTCTGTCACTCAAGCGCTGTAGGACACATGGCTTACCCTAGAGATGACGTGACTTTTCCTTTCAGCTGCGAGCCTGCTTGCCTCGGCTCAGCCCATGAAACCACCACGGTCCTTCGGTCATGCTCTCTCCAGCCAAACCAATCTGTCCCCAGCTGCAATCACTCGTCATTTTGTTATCAGCTCCAACAGGATACAGATTAGACCTTCGGCTTTATTGCTGACTTTTGTTGGATGTTATTTTCTTAACAGAGGTGGACTTCTGCTACCTTGACGAGCAGCGGTCAAGGCTGGTGTCCTCGGGTAACAACATCGGACAGTTCAACAGCAGTCACTAGGCAATGGCAGCACGGACTCGGGAGACAACTGAACCTCAACCAAAGCGCACCCGTCGCCACTGGATCTCACGACCAAACGGGGCCAAAACCACCAAGAGGACGTTCCACATCTCTCTCATCCATGGCGGCCCATGGACAGCACGGCTCAGACACCGGCCTCTTTATTTCACTGTCGCTTGTTCCCCTTTACCCACCGCAGCGTCGGAAATGCAAAAATTCCCAATAACACAGTGGAAAAAACCTACAGAGGGACAATGGTGCACGCAGAAGGCCCAGGTGGGGCAATTTGTGATCTGGCAAAGCAGGCGATCGATCTGGTAGAGGCAGGCGGCTAGCAGGGAGCACTAAACACGAGAGCTGAAAGGGGAAGTGTGCTGAGAGCGGGCTTTCCCGTGCTGCCCACCGAGGCACCTGAGGCTGGAAGGAAAACCCTCTGGCGGGTGGGAGCGGGGGGAAACCAGGTGGCAAGAGCACACGAAACGCGCTGGGTGACGCTTGCTGGGTTTGGCTAGAAGGCTGCTCCCCGCCATCTCCAGCTGCAGGGTCTAGCGCTGCCATGAAGACACTCCTCTCTTCCTCCATGTCCGAGAAACAGATGTAGAGAGAAAACTTGTGGGGGGGTGGGTGGGAAATGCAGTTTTGGGTCAGTCAAAATGACATGAAAATACGGATAACATTTCTCAAATAGCTTCAAATGTCCTTCTTTAGCATCAACATTTTTTATTGCAAATTTCTGGAAAGTTTGCTTCTTTTAATACTCCATATTAACACTTCTGGTCATGTTAGGAAATGTTTTATTTTGGATCAAATGGAGTGTTTTGGAGTGTTCTGCTTGACCCAAAACTGATTTTTGTTTCTCTTGGCAAGAAAACATCAAATATTCTTGTTGTAGGCTGACCCAAGATTGCCCTTCCCAACAACAAATCAAAAATTCTGTTACTGAAGTATGGCTCTGCTGAAGTGTCCCATACATCCGTCTGTACCAGTGTCACATCTACTACAACAGCCAGTAGCCAATTCTTTGGGAAAGAGCATAGGAACCAGGCACACCTCCAGCGATGCTTTCTCTAGCACACCTTTATGCTGCCGGAGGGCTTCATGAGCAAGAGGAGGTCTGCATCTTTCTTTCTAGTGAACTTTGTTGAACCTTCTTCCATTAAGTTTTCTAATAACCTTCTGAACTTGTTTTAGCCTTCACGGTTTCCTGCAGCAACAGGTTCCACAGTTTAAGGATGTGCTGGTGGAAGAAGTACTTTTTTTTGTTTGTTTTAAATTTGTTTCTGGAGAATTTCATTCATGTGTTGTGTGAACGAGCTGATTGTTCCATGTTCACCATCTCCTTTGCCATCCATCACACTCCTTCCCCTTGGTATCCTCAGGGCTCCAGTGAGTCCTGTAGGACCACTGCAGAACTCCCCAGATATACTGCTTGTAAATAATTGGTATTTTTCTCTTAGTTCCCACCTTTCTAACAAAATATTTATTATATACTTGAGGAGAGTCAGCTGGTTGCTGTCTTGAATGCTCAAGTTTTGGCTTACAAGCCTGTTACTACAAGAGGATTGTGTGTGCTCCACAGAACAGCAGTATTCAGTGCAAGCAGTATTTTGGCCTGGGTTTGAGTTTCATTCCAAAAGCAAATGCCAATCTTTGATTCTGCTGCTGCTTGGATACGCATCCATTCACGTCTGTAGTACCATTCCAGGAGCAGTTGTGTTTTGCATGAGCGCAACATTTTTCAAAGAAAGGTTGCAAAGGCTTCGCTCTCATTTTTAAAACAACATAACCCGAGTACTCAAAAGGACCCATTTTACAGACAGGACAGATGAGACCTAAAGAATTACCTGGCTTGCTGGAGGCCCTGCATACAGTTTAGCAGCAGATCTGGAATAGCATGCAAGATGTTTAATTTTCAATGCCCAGATTAGCACAACACTTCCCTTAAAGCAACAGGTCGATCCCTATCAGGACAAACAGCTGAGTACAATGATTTACAGCACCTTCGTCATCAGATTTTTTTCACTGTTTTTCTGCTGGCTTTGGGGAGGGGGGTCACCGTCACTTTTATAGCTAACACCTACAGTTCCCCACAATGCCTCCCCTCAACTGCTATTTTCCATTGTCACGTTCAGCTTTTCCACTGACAGAAAGTCAAAAAAATAATAGTGCTGAGAAATGCAGGTAACACGTGACCTCTCTACCTGTCAAGGCGTCTGAAAGAGGAACCTTTCCTTTGCTAAACAGCAGATGCCACGGTAGCAGGATGTGGTGAGCTGTTACACCACATTTTAGTTTAATAAGGAGTTTTTTCTTCTTGTATTTAATTTTGCTTTAAAATGCCCTTGCAATGGAAATTTTTGCTTTACTAATTAGCAAAAT